TGAAAGTTAAACGGGTTCTGCGACTCCCTGAGTTGTGAGACAGTAAAATATGGCAATGAGTCCCTCTGGATTCGGAAACAAGAATGACTGTGCTGGCGAAGCCCAGAATATGTTTACCCGATCAGTAATAAGCAGGGCCCGGATTTTTATGACCTGAAAATATTTAAAAAATGACCTAAAGGAGAAAAGAAAGAACACTTCGCTTCCATGTTATTCACAATTTAGAAAACATATGAAGAAAATTCCCTAAAATGGCCAAAAATGACAAGAAATACCCTTAAAAGTCCAAAAATTTACCAAAAAATTACCTATAAAATTTACATTTCTGTAACCATCAGCTCATATTCGAGATTTATATATTTAAGAGCATCGCATAGGATACAAGGAAAAAAAAGTTGACATGTCATCAAAATCCTGTCCTGGTAATGAGATATATGAAAAATGCATATGTACAGGTATGTTTATTTTGCTGTGCTGTCAGTATTTCAGACTTTAAAGCGTCTAATAGCATGATGGCTGGTGAATAATGAATTAGAAAGAATTTGGAAGAAGTAGTAGTGAGATTTTCCAGTAATTATCGCGGAATTTTTCTGGAGTGACTGTTCAAAACTGCGAAAAATTATAATTTATGATAGCAGTGACTCGGCCGAAATTCGAATCCATCACCTTCCGAATACAAGACTGGGGCGTGACATCCAGACAAATCTGTTAGGTGATTTTGGGTCCGGAAAAAACTTTTGAAAATAAGAAACTGCAACTGGGAGGAAATCTCTTCCCCTGTATCGGGGTTATGGTGATACCTAGCATACTACTGTGATTCGGTACATCAAATTTTGTATGCAGAGGGGGCATACATGTACGTATCGAACGTGTTTGAAACATAGTTCGAATTTCAATAATCGTAAACATGACGACGGACTGAATTGCAGAGGTTACATCAAAGGCATTTAAATTCTAAAGAGTTCTGACGATGCTGTGTGACACCAGAGATTACTCAGTTTTTGGAATTAATCGTCCTGTATTCTAAACGATATAACTTTTCTGAACTTGGATCTGTTTCCAGAACAGACCTTCTCTCTTTGATCCGCTAGAAAAACCTAACCTCAATCTTTGGTCCGAAACATTGCTTTTTAGAATATCGGGCGAAGCACAAAGCCCCCTCCCCCCAAAAAAATAATAATCCAAGGGATATGTAATTCAGAATATGTACTTAAGAAATAAATTCTTCACAAAATTAAAATAAAATAACATTAATAATAGTCATAGTGCGGAGCTAGAAATCTATGTAATAGGAACATAGGCTTTATGAGGTGGAAATTCTCACGGTAGACTTGTGCAAAAGCAAGCGAAATGATACACGCAAATCACACTGACTCAAGATGGCTGATGGAAACGGCTGTATGACATGGCTGGAGCAACAAGTGCGAAAGTTGTCTGGCAATTGAACAGAGATAAGGCTGTAGCCTCGTGTACGGTGAAATTACATGCCCTGTCAGTTTCGTACAGTCACATCCCATACTTATGACTTAATACGTTTCCGAAAAAGAGTCGTAAGTCTAAATTTCGTGAGTCGAATTCATTATAACATGGGACGTACATAAACCAACTTCGCTACGGCATGTAAATAAAGAATGGAATTATGGTAAGATGAGACCGCCTCTGTGGTCTAGTGGTCAGAGGTCCTGGCTGCAGATCCAGAGGTCCCGGGTTAGATCCCCGGCGCTACCAGATTTTCTGAGAAGTAGTGGGTCTGGAACGGGGTCCACTCAGCCTCGTGAGGATAACTCAGGAGCTACTTCAAGTAAATAGCGGCCGTGGAGATCCGTTGCGCTGATTCGCTAAAGTTGGCACTAACTTCGCCGACAAGCGGCGGTCGCTCGGTTGGTATAGTTCGCTTGAGGACTAAAGCCACGGTATTTGTTTTATTATGATGAGAAATGTTCGTTCTTCGCGTGACGAATTATTATTTTCTTGTCAGTATCATGATACATTATAGCTGAAACTTTGAAGAAGGAATAACACCCAAATTAGGAAACTGAGGTATGATCATATCGCTGAAAGAATATGGGGAATGAGGACTTGAATCACATCCAAAAATTTGGAAGCAATATTTTCACGTTAAGTTAACAAACCTCAGCACTGTACAAGTTAGAGGGGGGCACACAGAAAAATTTTATTTTGGCTTGTCTGTGTTCTCCAGTACATCCGCAGAAACAGGAAAGTGGCTAACAGAAAACATAAGTTTCTACATGTACCATAATATAATTATCATTATAGATATAAATATTATAATTCCGTAATTTTCATGTAACTAGTACATCAGTCAGTAAGACGAAAATCATTATTTTAACTGGTAATTAGGTACCATAATTAATTAACTGTAAAACTAAAATTGTCCTAGCACAGCGCCATGAAGAATTGGGGAGTGCAGGTATAATATACATCCATATTTAACATGACCTTGGCAATAGATGGAGGTGAATGCTCTGCTTCACGCTCCTACCGCTTTACCCCGGGGAAAGGGCCCCGATGCCCATTGGATATGAGGCTGGGTGTTTCTGGGCGACTTGGAGAAGAGAGAATTCTTGACCCTACCGGGACTCGAACTCCGACCCCTCGGTCGTCCAGCCCGTAGCCAGTCACTATACCGACTGCGCTATCCCGGCTCACTAACTATACAGAGGGAAACTGCCCTAAAACTGTGGCGCACTTAAACATCTAAATAGGGGTGCGATAAACGTCACATTAGGTGTTTGAGGTTTGGGGTTATGGTTAGTAATAACTTATTTATGACCACGGTCCCTAAGAGCCATATCTTTTTATAGCTTTTGTGCAGCCATTACACGCTCGTAAAATGCGAGAAATGGCGATATATTTGATTATGGTGTTATTGAGTTTCCTACCCATCGGTCCTGATCAGGCGGTATGAACTCCAGTTACGTATTGGTTTCCCGTGACGCAAAGGATTCTGGTATCCGCAGCAGGGCAATTCCTTGCCAAATTATCGTATATAAAGGCAGTCTCTTTCGAAGACTTGTAAAATTTGTGATCCCTATAGCCATTTATATTCACCCACTTTAATAATAAATACCAAATACGGGCATGGAGGTAAAGACATCAAACAAATTCCGTGACCGCCGCTTGTCGGCGAAGTTAGTGCCAACTTTAGCGGATAGAGAGTGTCACGTGGTCAGCGCAACGGATCCCCACGACGATTAATCTCGGTTTTCTAGACCGCAGCCTCTATTTCATTGAAATAGCTGCTCAATTAACCTCATTAGGCTGAGCGGACCCCCTTCCAGAACCACTACTTCTCAGAAAATGTTGTAGCGCCGGGAATCGTACCCGGGATCTCTGAATCTGTTGCCAGAAACTCTGACCACTAGACCACAGATGCGGTCGGTAAAGACATTACTATTACTAATAGACTAAGCACTACGCCATGAAGACATATGAGGGAATAGAAGAATAGATCCACCATTTCTAATCTCGAAACTTGGTGGAAATTATTGGTCAGTTTCACGCCATGGCCGTTTTGTCCCCTGGCAAACAACCCACGTTACCAACTGTGTACGAGGTTGATTGGAACTTAGAGCCCGTCTGGATGACATACTGAAGATATAAATCTCTTGCCTCTGCCGGGATTCGAACACAGATCATTTGATCGTCCAGCAGATAGCCTAGTCGCTATACCGACTGACCTATCCTGGTCCCATAATAAGGATTATGTATCGAAAAAAATTAAAATTAAAACGATTAAATTTAATGTAAACCACATTCATATTAGCAATTAATTTATAATTCCAAGCTCAGTATTTTAACTTCTAAATTTCTTACGTTGTAGAAGGGCTTTCTCGTGGGATAAAGCGGCCAGAGATTGAAGCTAAGCCACTCCATCCAGTGCCTAAGTTAAGTGTTACATGGATATATACCTTCGCTACTCCATACGTCTTCATGGCATGGTGCTTAATTAAGCACAGGGATAAATTTAATTTATCGTTTTATTCAAGCATTTCTCTGTGGGAACCACGAGAGGCCCAGCAGCTTTCAATTGGCTCTTGTGAGCCCCGTTGTTTTATTATATCGTGTCCCTACACACATCACTGAACGTGAGAAGCTAACTTCTAATCTGTGCTTGTTCGTTCAAGTTGGCAATTAGAAGCCCTACGATCTCAAAATATTGTGAGCGGGTAAGCATCTGGTGGTTTGCTGCACCCTCTCTTCAAGAGGATTAAAGTATAATTGGTTGAGAGAGGGTGGCGGAAGAAATAGACACCTCATATTCTTCCCCTACCGCAGCTACACTGAAGGGAGCCCGTGGTTAGCCAGCAGGGAGCGTCAGGCAACTCAGAAGTTGAGCAAGAAAGCATTGTATTATAGCCCAATGTAAAACATAGGCTAAAATTTAATTAAGTTTTAATTTACTCAGTTGCGTTCAGAAGCGTCTGCTTGGGGGAGGGGCAAGCCAACATCTTCACCCACCCCCCGTTCACTCACTCATGGAACTGAGACCCTTCTTGAGAAGCCGCCAGTTGTGCAGCTACTCAAAAGCTTCCCAGCATTTTATGGAACCCGAAGGTTCATTACCGTGTTCACAAGAGCCCTCCACTGGTCCCTATCCTGAACCAGATCAATCCATACCATCCTATGCTATCTCTCTAAGATCCATTTTACTATTATCCGCCCATCTACGCCTTGGTCTTCTTAGTGGGCTCTTTCCTTCTGGCTTTCCCACCAATATCCTATATGCATTCCTCTTCTTCCCATTCGTGCTACATGCCCTTCCCACCTCATCCTCCTTGACTTGATCATTCTAATTATATTTGGAGAAGAGTACACGTTATGAAGCTCCTCATTATGCAGTTTTCTCTAACCTCATCTATCTTCGGTCCAAATATTCTCCTCAATACCCTGTTCTCAAACACACTCAGTCTATTCTAAAGGGTTCTGACGTTGGTGGATGACACACAAAATTACTGGGGTTTTGGACTTTTGCCATCGTCCGGAATTTTAGGTAATAGAGGACACAAAGTTTCGGAAACGGGATCTGTTTCCGTCTTCAGGTGAAAAAGGAAAACACCTACTCAGTTGGTCCCTTAGAAAGAGTGATTGAGAGCGGGCCCATCTAAGTAGGTGTTTTCCTTTTTCAGCTGAAGACGGAAACAGATCCAGTTTCCGAAACGTCGTGTCCTCTATTACCAAAACCCCAGTAATTCTGTGAACCCTGTCTGTGTTCCTCCCCTAGTCGTTAAGTAACCAACTAGATTAAATTAGAGATGAAAGCTGAAAATGCCACCTGGAGGAAGGTTCTGCAATCACATGGGAGCAGCCGAGGTTCTGGTAGCCTGTACCTGACAGGCCCTCGAGACCGGATGATGGCTTTACAATTTTTTTTTTCATTAACAGAAGCTTCAGAAGTCTATTTCTATAATCCCCTACGTATATCCTTTCTGTTTATCTCCCTCGCGTATTGGAGCCATTACACCTGCTTGTGTTCACAGCCCGTATTCTGTTCCTTCTGAAGGGAATAGAATGATATATCGATGTTCCCTTATCACAACAAGAGAACAGGTCGCTCTCAGAGACCACTTTAGTATCCTCTTTCTGCCTCAAATTCTTCGCTTTCTTCTTTTTCCTCTCCGACTTTCCTCATTTACTTCGTAACTCTTCCTTCTTAAAGTTTCCTTCCTTATGAATAGAGATAACTCAGTCGGTACAGCGACTAGCTAGGAACTGGACGGTCGGGGTTCAGTTCCCGGGAGAGGCAAGATTTTTCTCTTCTCCTTAGTGTCCACGCCAGATCGGAGCCCACACAGCCTCTCTTTCCGCAGAGAAAATCGGCCGCAGCATGAAGCTCATCACTCACCTCCATTTAGTACCGACACAAATAATGGTGGAGCTATACCTCCACTCCCCCTTAGGTCTTCATGGCAATTTTTTAATTAATTACGCATAGGGACAGCAAAATATTTTTATGTTCTTCCTTCCTTTGTTCTGTAGAGTGAGAGGTGAGGGATCAGCTTCATGCCCTGGCCTTTTTACCACATGGAAAACAGTCGTTGATACCCATTGGAGGCTGGGTGGGTTCCAGAGCCAGTCTGGACGCTGTGAAGAGGAGAAAAATCTCTTGCTCCTACCGGGAATCAAACCCCGGTAGTCCAGCCAGTAGTCCGACTCTACTCCCACTATCAATTCGAATAACTTAGAGAAGTTTTATGTAGGGTACAGTTGTCCCTGTGCTTAACTAATTAAGCATTACGTCATGAAGGCTTAAGGGGGAGTGGAGGTATAGATCCACATTTTGTTGACCTCTGCACTAGTTGGAGGTGAGTGGTCAGCTTCTCGCCCCGGCCGCTTTATCCCCGACCCATAGGACAGGAGGTTGGGTGAACCACAGAACAGGCCTAGACGACGTCGTGAAGAGAAATTTTTGACTCTACCGGGACTCAAACTCCGACCCCTTGGTAGTCCAGCCCGTAGCCAGTCGCTATACCCACTGAGCTATCCCGGCTCCTGAAGTTAAATGTAAATAATCATTAAAGAAAATGGAGTTGTTCCCAAAATTTCGGTTCAAATTTTATGCACAGAAACGCCTCTAAATGAACTAAATAACGTTTCGGGGTTTGATTCCGCTACCGTCTTCAGGCTAATATTTTCTTCAGCATTTATTTAGCTTAATTATTTTTTTACTTTCTTTGGGGTGGGGTGAGGTTGAGTTCACTTGGTACGTCGGCCACTACTGGCCAATTGTTACCAGCCCCGAATGGTAAGTGATGAGCGTGGAGCAGTCGGAGGAATGAGAATTGGCAGGGGAAACCGAAGTACTCGGAGAAAACGTGTCCCAGTCCCCCTTTTTGTTCACCACAAATCCCACATGACCTGACCTGGACTCGAACCCAATTCATCGCAGTGGGAATACGGCGACTAACCGCCTGTGATATGGCACAACCTTTACAGTATTTAACCTAAACAAGAATGTGATCTTCCTTTAGATGTTCCATTCGAGCAACTGTGCGTTTGAAACAATTACGACGTCCCGTTATATTTTAGTTGTGCACGAAACTCAGATAAACTTCTTCGGAAGGAAAATGGCAACCATGGAGAACGGTGTCCTCAGGGACTCATGTTCAGGCTGCTACAACAGGAGATCGGGCAAGAGTAGTCATAAAATCCTGAGACTAGCATCAACTGTCACCGGAAATGACGAACATTCAGAGCGCCGCAGACACTAGTATCTTCTTGACCTCTTTGCGCTGATGGGCTACAAGTGCTAGACAAATTGTGACACTAGTAACGCTGGTAAGACAATCAGAACCCTTCGAAATATTAGTGTGACGTTAGCTTTTGTGTCAGATATACAGAATGTCCTAGGAGGAAGGATCAATATACTGGGAGGTCATAATATCGGCCATTATAAGCAAAAAAGTATGTATGTACTTGTGTCCTATTCCGAACAGGGCATGCGGTAGCGTAGTTGTTGAGGCACTATGCGACAAGCCGAAAGGTCGCGGGTTCAAGTCCCGATGTGATAATTTTGTCAATTTACCTAATCCTTCTGGCCGCACTAACTATGGCTCTGGTGTGGACTCAGCCTCTAACAGAAATGAGTATCAGGAATCTTTTTCCGGGTAAAAGACGGTCGGCGCCTAAGGCTGACAAACTCACCGCCATCTGCGAGGTGATTGTCTAGAGAAAATGTGGGAGCCTCGACGTCTCACAACCCTATGGGCCTTCACGGCCTGTTACAGGGACGACTTTACCTTTTACCTATACCGAAAGGTTTCCGAAATAGAGCTGTTTCACCGTACAGTTCCAAAACTGTTGATAAGAAAGAGATATTACGTACTGATATATTGGGTTTCTGGACTTTATCCATCGTCCTAGTTTTTAAGATAACAAAAACACAACGTTTCGGAAACTGGATCTGTTTCCGTCCTCAGGAGAAGGAAAAGGGGGAACACCTATTCTGTTGGGACCACTGGTCCAGTGATTGAGGCTAGCTCTTTCTAACGGACCCAACAGAATAGGTGTTCCCCCTTTTCCTTCACCTGAGGACGGAAACAGATCCAGTTTCCGAAACGTCGTGTTTTTGTTATCTTAAAAACTAGGACGATGGATAAAGTCCAGAAACCCAATATATCAGTGTGTTATACACCATCGTCAGAATCCTATAGATATTACGTACTGTTTCTAACACCGGTATTTATTGTTCAAGTGATAAAGTTTTTACAGTTTGTCTAGTATAATAAATTTTCGAAAATTCCACCGTCAACATCAATGCACTTTGCAACTCGTGTGAGGACATGGCGTGTTGTTCGTCTGTACAGTGAAATAGCTCTATCTCGGAAACCGTTCGAAATGGGACACATGTATACAATCTTTTGCTTAGAATGGCCGATACTCTGACCTCCCATAGTATTTACCTTTCCTCCTGGGACACCCTGTATTTGCGCCAAGGTTTATGAAGACGATAGCAAGTGAAAAAATTAGGCAGTGTGTAGGCAATATCGCAGAGGATATTCTCGAAACACATAAAAATCCTGGATTATGTATATAATATTAGTGAGGATGGTTAGAATTTTTATAATACTAGACTAACACGCTGCCACCAGACTACATGAACGCCCAAATTCTGGAAAAAACGTATATTTTAAATATGAGTAAGAAATTCGGCAATTTTCAGTGTAATGTTGGTGGCACTCACTTCCTTGACAGCGATGTCTGTTTCCATGATAATTCCCTCATCGGAAGCTTCTTGAGAGTAATAATGGCTGAAGGGAGCTCCTGGGAGAGCAACTGGTTCCATGTGACCAGATTTGCCATGGAGACGCATCAAGTAGGCCGTCCAACACACGTACCTGCAACACCCACAACACATACATTGAGCAGTGACACTTATGCACTAAAGAGAAAGGCAAATGTAGGATCTGAGGCTCTCAAACCGCTGCTTAGGAAGAGTGCTGTCTTCTGGGATATAACACCGAGTATTCCGTTGAAATCAACTTGCGTTTCGAAGGAATATATCGCCTCCATCTTCAAGGTTGAAACACAAGCCAAGCAAGAAACCAGCATGAAGCAGTTGCTTATGTTATCATACAACTTTAGACTGCGAAGCTGGTTAAATATTTTAAAGTTAGGTTCATATCCCTCAGAAAATATTTCTCGTCTTAATTACACCTTTAACTGATGACAAAGGTCAACCAATGAAGGTATGAGTTTACGGACGTTTCGGGCGAACTTACCGCCTCCATGTTCACGTCGAAAATGTATGAGAAAGAAGGACACTGTGTGAAGTAACACTCTAAAAATACAGATTGTACTTTAGTCTTAAACGCTAGCAAACTTCTACCAGATTGTACGGCGTCGCGTCTCTGACCGTAGTACTCTTCATAGTCACTGCTGGGATAAACACAAACTCAAATGATAGTCAGGTCTCCCGGTAACTTGACTGGGATTCGAACGGGAGAACACAAGGCGCCATGGTCTCTTCCGTTGGAGTGATAACATTCATAAAAAAAATATAAAACTATCCCTGTAAGAGGTCGTGAAGGCGCGTAGGGCTGTGAGACGTTAAAGCTTCCACATTTTCTACACAGTCGTCTCATAGATAGGGTTAAGTTTGTCGGCCTTACGCGCCGGTCTCCCTTTACCCACAGGAAGATTCCTGGTACTCATTTCTGTTAGAGGCTAAGTCGACCCCAGAGTCACAGCGAGGCTTGAAGTTTTTGATAAAAGAAACACCAAATAACCTCATCGGGAATCGGACCCGCGACCTTCAGGCTTGTAGCATAGTGCCGCAAACAACTACGCTGCCAATTCATACGTGTATAAATTCTGGTACTAACTTTTCTTTGTCCTTTGTCCATACTAATTGACGTTTCTGATAACTTTATGCAAATGACGACTTGTCAACTAGTAAGCTTTCATGGCCCACCAGGGCGTTAGACGGCGCAACTCTGTAGAGCGTGTAACAATGGAACTTGAGTGACTCCGGTATTTTGCTTTGTTTCTTATCACGCCCGATAACTTTGCTCCCTTTAGAGCATGATGACCGCTGAAGGAACTGTCAAGATAACGAACGATTTATCCTTCAGTTACCGTTTCCGGTGAAAGGCTGTCTAATGGAAACCCGTGCGTATACTCCATCTGTTATAGGAGCGAGGTTTCGTCATCGGCAGTTAGTGACGTAGACCGTTACGTCATCATAATAAATTAAGTAAAACAGGTTCCTATGCTTAATTTAGCACTAAAGCATGTCTGCTTTTACCGGTTCTCACGGTCTCTTCACTTGCGGATTTCTTATATTTTTCCTTCTACTCTGAAGATGGAGGCGATACGTTCCTCCGAAACGTCGGTTAACACCACATATACACGGTGCCAAATCCCAGAAGACTGCTTTCTTCAAAATTCCTCTTATTTATTTTTCTTCTCACGTGAATAGAACTACATAAACAAATTCCATCGCCCAAATTCCTTCTTCAGAATCCAACACCCCCGCAGCTAATATATAAATCCTCCGATTCCTTTTTTATGAAACTCTACAAAGTTCATTACAGTACTCACAACAGCCGATCACTACTCCTGAGATAAATGGATCCAGTCCATACCATCACACAGCAACTAACTAATGAAATAACCTTCTGGATGTAAAATTCTCCTTGAGAAATTATTAGTCACTCTTATGGTCAATAAAATTCCCAGTTTTTATGGATCCCGAAGGTTCATTATCTCCTTCATAAGAACCCGCCACTGACCTCTATTCCAAGCCACATGCCAAAGGCATAGCAGTAATAAGAATGAACGCATATAGACCTCTTAAACTGGTATTAATCTTTTAAGATAGTTGATTTCGAATCCTGGCATGTCTCGAATGGGAAATAGGTCAGGGAATGAGAGACAGTTTGATGTAAATAAACCAAAGTCATTTCAGAGGGAGAAGACATTAAAATATTGACCTCATTTACTTGTAGAATGTTCATAAATTTCATTCTACTATCCACATCAAAGTAACGTCCATAAGGAAACACTGGGACGAGTCAGAACTAAAGCAGCAACAATATATACGTATATTATACATTTTACAGAAAGATTGTATAGTACTGTTATTTTATGTGGGCCACTGAGTTTTGAATGCGCAAGAAATATGGCCGAATTCACTCTTACTTTCCAGTGAGTCAGTTATCTGATATCTACACGCGGGAGAGATTTTGATGTGGAGAGATCAGCATCATGTAACTACTAAAGTTACGAGATATACAAAACATATTATGCGCAGTCAGATAAGAGAAGTCGTCATTAGTGAAAGTTCTAGTTTCTTGGCAACAATAATTCTATAGTAGAAATTAACTCCGTTTCCTGTAGTCCACAAGCGAACTATATGAGCCTCTGTGGTCTAGTGGTCAGAGTTCCTGGCTACAGATCCAGAGGTCCTGGTTTGATTCCCAGCGCTACCAGATTTTCTGAGAAGTAATGGGTCTGGAACGGGGTCCACTCAGCCTCGTGATGATAATTGAGGAGCTATTTCAAGGAAATAGAGGCTGCGGTCTAGAAAACCGAGATTAAAGGTCGTGGGGATCCGTTGCGTTGACAACGCGACACCATCTATCCGCTAAAATTGGCACTAACTTCGCCGACAAGCGGCGGTCGCTCGGTCTATAATAAAAACACCACATTAATAAATCTCATGTAATTATCGGTTATTATTTCTAGTGCAGGTCGCGGTAGCCGAGCGGGCTAAGGCATGCACTGTCTTCGCTCGCTTGATCGTGGGTTCGAATCCCATAATAGGCATGGATGTTTGGTATGTATATGTGTTTATTCCGTGTTTATGTTGTCCTGTGTTTAGGTAGAGACCTTGCGATGAGCTGATCACCCGTCCAAGGAGTCCTACCATCTGTAAAATTATCAAAATAAAAAAACAACCTTGACACCGTAAAGGTATAAGAGGAACGGATTAAGTAGGATAAGTAATTATTTGCAGTCAGATGTTCAACACGTTTTTACTGCCTCTCTTCGCAAGCAGGACATTGCCCCCACTACTCCAATTTTCTATAGCTTCTTACGCAAGCCAGGTACCACTATAGAGTAACAGGCCAATAAAATGTAGAGGATTTAGTTTGGGAATTGGAAATTTAAACATGAACTGCTACAGTCTATTGTGTGAAGTTTCTTATAAATCGATGTGCAGGTAAAAGAAATTCAGGGCCGAAGAATTTCTCATGTAAGTAGCCGGAAATAAGCATAAAAATTCTAACCGATACCCCTTGCATCATAGGCAACTTATCTGTCTTCTGCGTTCTGCGGTATCTGACAGGCGTTACATGTTAGACTGAAAGAAAAGTCTGTATGAATCAGTTTATTGGAATCTGCGTCAGTTATACGAGTTACACCTCTACAGATTTCGGTATCTCTCTCTCTCTATCGAACAAGCAGAAATATCACTGGCAAAATCCTGCTCTGTTCTCTTGAAGAAACTTTCTCTTATAAGCACACTGACACATAACTTCCACATTGTCCAGTGTCTCATTTCTTTTGGTTAAAATCCGCAATGTTTCGCAAGCACTTTCTGCTTCCTTCATCATGTAAAATGATAATGCATACTGTATATGTTATCTTTTAAATGAAGACAGTCTCTTTCTACTAGAGCAAATAAAACAGGCTTTTTATAATTTTATTGTAAATCTTATTTTACAATCTTATGTGCAACTATTTATTAACATAAAAGTGTAAAAAATTTAAGTTTAAAACTTAAAATTTGAAATTTAAATTGTAAAATTGTAAGATTGTAAAATGAGATTTACAACCAAATGTAAGAGTGCAAAATGAAGCTACACTATTAGGCTTTATAATTTTACCTGTTGATGGAAGCGTAAACAGCTTCCAAAAGCTGTTTTTAACCAAACAACGAGATGATGGGACGAGCCAGTTAGAGTAGCAGTGATACTATAGACCCATTTTCACGAGGTGTTCGGTTTGAATACCAGCCGATACACTGGCTATCTCATGGCTTCCTTTGTTCCTCCAGGTAAATTCCAGTATATTGTCTGAATCAGGCCACGACCACTTCCTTCCGGGTACTTTCCAATTAATCTATCTTCCATCCGCTCAGCTACTCAGTGCAACAGGATAACGATAGAAAACACAACACACATTCTGACTCTGTGAATTCAGCGCTTCTTATATTCCCCTTTCCACAAGAATATTTCGAAACAGAAGAGAAAGTGACGTGTACTTCAGGGACTTGTAACGTACCGCAACAATGCAAGCAGCAAAACAGTCCGGCGTCTGTAATTACAAGAATGGAGAGCTGGCCGCTTCCAATATGGGGGGAGTGTTCTGTGTGTTCCGATCAAGCAAGAGATATGCAACGGTGGAACACTGGAATGCAACAGAATGTAGCCCCACTTGAACGAGCATTCTGTAGTAGGTCAAAGGGTCTGGGGTTTAATGGGGTTCAATACAATTGTGTTAAATGTGACTTTTAGTTAACGCTGCCAGACAAATCGAATCGAATATACGCTTTTTTTCCCTGGGATAGGTTCTAGTTGTAACATGTTGGAACACGGATATGTGTAAACCATGGAAGGCAAGGAAAGTAGAAACGAAATAATGACAAGGAAATAAAGGGTTAGAGAAAGAGGTAAAACGAGGTATGAAGAGAAGAATTTTGTGGTTTATTTTATGACGTTGGCAGTATTTCAGTTTATGTAGCTGGAAGAGTAAAGAAAAAGAAGAATAGAAATGGATAAATAAAGCAGACAATAAATAAATAATAGAAAAAGAAAGGAAACTTGTTATTAAGGGAAAAGAAATGAAGCCAGTTCACGGCTATCATGCGTTACGTGAAATGACTGTACTTGGAGTCTCTTCTCAAGTGACTTATTCATGATTATCTGCAAAGCGAATTTTCATATAGGATGAAAGTATTTGTAGCAGTATGTGTATATAAGGCTGTAAAAATATAGGGAGATAAGCTCTCTATATTTCCAATATATATACAGAGTTGGCTGGTTCCTGATGACGTCAGACAGGAGGGCACAGTTTTACTACCCATTTTATTTAAAAGAAAACTTTCTTATCAGATGCTGAACTATTGTCTAATTAATATATATATAATCATTTCCGATACATTATTAACGTTAAGCTAATGTAAGACTGCCATCAATTGTATCCCGTTCTTAATTAGTGAATAATTACTAAGCCCAAAGTCTTTCAACCTCATACTGCAGGAACGTTAAATGTTAAAAGAAAAATGTACATAATTTCATATTAATTATGTAATATATCTTAAGCACATAATTGAAAGAAATCTGATATTTAAATCTCATTAACATTTGAAAGTAGTGACTAGTCACCTAGATTTGTCACGATTTTAGTGACTGTAGACGAGGTTTGAATTGGTGACCGCATTTACTGAACTCTTCGATACAACACATGACCACACTTTGCAGTAAACTGTTAAGCACACACACTGATGTCCACAGTCACATCTTCACTGCCGTTGCTTGGTAGCGACTTTCAACGTCGGACACTCCCCTTTCACTGGGTTCCCGAACTGTCCCCGTGCCTCAGCTACCGGCTTCTCACAGCAACACCTCACAAGGGACTGAACCGCAGCGGTCCTCTAACTCACTCACTCACTCACAAATCAACTCGCTCCACATTTGTCCTGTCTCAGCACGGATCGCACAGAAAACATCATCCCTCTCTTACTGTTCACGGACCGTTGCTAGGTGCTCGTTTCGCGCTCGTTGCCTAGCAACAGGTCTACATGCCGCAGTATGATGAAAGAGCCAATAATGTCTCACGTGAAAAGTAACGAAGTTTAGGAATATGGGGAAAATTCAGATCCTCAGATTTTTGTTTTAATTTGGAAGGTAGTATGAATCCGGAAATTTCGCGAACTAATGTACTAACATTTTCGAGGGAAATAAAAATTTTGGTAGTTTCTTAATTTCACGTTACAATAACTTAGTAAGAACAAATATTTTGGGAAGAGTATTAATTATGCAAATCAATATTCTGAACTAATTCAAATGTTTTAAGATTGTAAAGCTGCTCAGAACACAGAAATCTTCAAATATTCCTAAAATATGACGGTTTAGTGTGTGGAAACAGCGTTCGTAATGTCTGTGCAATTTTTAAATGCCCTAGCACTGAAGTCCGTACCACTGGGTTCACTAAACATTTAAGTCTCCATCGTGAAAATGTTACGAAGTGAAAAAAATATTATAAGATTATGTATGATTTGTGGTTTTCACGGCGGTGACTATGAAGAATGCAGTCTTCTGGGTTATGGTATTGTATAGATCCTGTGTGAACCGACGTTTCGGAGGAACGTCGGTTCACACAGGATCTACACGGCGCCACATACCAGAAGACGGCATCCTTCGTGATAATATTAAACACTGCTCACCTCAGTTCCCTGTAGCAGTAGAAAATAGTGATTACGACGAAAGAAACATAGAAAACTCTGGATTGATCGAAATCTAATGTATCATTCTTTTTATGAGGAGGAGACATAAATAAGATGGTAGCCCTATTGGCTGCACGCCACTGATAAACTCGGACTCGGTTCGTCCCTGCCTGTAGTCCCAGCTGTACCTGTACAAGAGCGTGTTGTACGACACTCGTAATGAAATATTCAACAAGGAGTTTCTACCCTGACAGGCCTACTAACCTACTTCACATATATCATGTTACACAAGTACACCCCGTCTTAATATGCCCTGGAAGTACTGTGTCAGGGGGTGTATCAGAAAGGGTGCTCTCTAACCAGCAACGTGGCAGCAGTACCTGACTTTTCAACAGAGTTAATATTGTAACATGTAGACCCGTTGCTATGTAATGACTCTGTAAACAACGGCAGTTGCTAGGTAACGGCTGCAAACATATTCGCGACATGCACCAGTGGAGTAACTATGAAGCGGTTTTCTCTACGCGGTCCGTGCGACAGCTACGTGACGCAACAACAGAAAAAATGTTGGAAGAGGTGTTTTCTGTGCGGTTTGTGCCCAGATGTTATAAGCAGGATAGGTCTAGAATTCGGTTAGTTGTGGGACAGTCACCGGCCAATAAGGTCGTAAACACGGACGCTGAGGAAGCTACGGATATGACATCCGTTACCAGGCAACAACCATTGAAGATGCGATGGACTGAGAAGGTTTAGTGCGTGCTGTAGTGAATTGTAGAATGTGTGAATTAGCGATAGGCCTATAGTTACTTGCTGTTACGATCTGTCAGTGTTCAATAAATACAGTTACCAATCAAAACCCCGTCTATAGTCACTGATACACGTAACAATATCAAAGACGTAATTGGATGGGATTATAAGTCACTTCCACCCATACATGCTCACAAACTACATATCTGCTGATCAATCTTAATGTTATTTTTCCAAGTATTTTTCACTTTTACATAAGATTTTTTCAAGAATTTTTCCATGATGTGGAAACTAGTTTTCCAAACGAAGTAAGAAAATTTGCTTATAAAACTGTATGTCAGCATTTTAAGACAATTTTAATTGATCCCCTAGATTAGTCATGATAGAGGACTATATTCGCTAATAACTTAACTGTCGGTATTAGGTAACATTTGCTATATTTCCTTTTTTTTAAGAAGCTTACGAGATCACCTTGCTGTCTGTGAGTTTCTGTATTCCTTCTACCTTTGCTAGTCAACGTCCAGGTAAACACTTCCTCGCGGCAACGAACACACACGTCACAATAGAACTGGACCCGGTGTTTTCTGTGTGGTCCATGTCGTATCAAATACTCAATATATAATTGAAGGTAAGTCGGTGGTTAGTAAAAGGTAAAGTTATCCCTGTGCTATGCCATGAAGACATATGGGGAAGTCGAGGTATAACTCCACTATTCTTCACCTCGGCACTAGAGGGAGATGAGTTGTCAGCTTCACGCCCTGGCCGCTTTACCCCCTGGTAACAATTGGATAGGAGGATATGTCGGTCCCAGAGCCGATCTGAACACTGTGGGAAAGAGAAATCTTTTACCCCGGACATCCCTTTACCAACTGAACTCTCTCTTCCTACAACTTCTTGTTGTATTGCAGTTGTTCTCATGAGGAAGAAGTCTGGCTTGCTCCCATTGTCGGAGTGCAGAGTAGCTACTTTCAGAACACTGTGTCCCTGAGTTTTGTTAGGAAAAATCATAAGATAAAATGAACCTGTGGATAGTGACACTTTTAGGGAACATCCTGTACCTGAGGTGGTTGCGAGCCACGTTGTGTATGTCCTTGTACACCATGTGCAGGCGTACGGTCTCCGAGTGACAGTCACTCTTGATGGTCCAGGCTTGCTTGTCCCTGTCGTAGCACTGGGCTACCACGGGAGTGGGCAACACCACTGCGGAGGGTGGCTGATGGCTCCCTGGTGACTGAGCCGCCAGATGAGGGGGTGGTCCCGGTGTCTGCAGCCCCACACTCGAGGTGACAGCTACCTCGCTGAGTGTATTGGCCACCATCATTTCCAAGTGAAGGCGTACAACTCCCTGCAACACAGAGGGTAGGGGGGAGGTTTCTGCTAAAATGTCCGTTTCTTAACACCTGACTTAACAATAAGAGTCTGACCGGGGGTAACGCTCTAGACTTCTATTGGTTCGAATCCCGGTGCGGAAACAGGTCATCCTGTCTCGGGTTCTTCGTCTGTTTCTTCAGGTCTTCCAACTAAGTTCTCATATACATTTATGAGTCATTAGGGGAATGCCGTAGCGTAGTTGGTTGGTCACCACTGTTTCCTTCCAAATCTTTCTCACTTCATCATTCATCTATCATTCAACGTCATAATTTAGCTACTGACAGCGTCATGAAATGACAAACAAAATTAAGACAATTCCTCTAACAAAACCTTGGAGGCCTATAGGGTTGTGAGACGTCGAGGCTCCCACATTATCTAGGAAATCGGTTTACAGGTGACTGTGAGGCTGTCAGCCTTACGCGCCGGCCGCCCTTTATCCTCCAGGAAGATTCCTGGTACTAAATTCTATTAGAGGCTGAGTCGATCCTAGGGCCATAGTGCGGCTGGAAGTACGTGTATTAGATCAATTGAAAAATCAAGTGACCTCATCGGGAATCGAGCCAGCGACCTTCCGACTTGTAGGATATTGCCCCAGCCAACTACGCTACTGCGAGCCCCCGAAATTGCTGCACGGTGGAAGGGAAAATTATTGAAAATAAATTCTAGTGGACTGTACTGATCTGAAAAATTTTCAACCGTTTGGGTTCATAAATGGCAGAGGATTTCTTGAACAGGCTGGATTTCGATTTCAAGCCACTCTCATCCATGTATCTTGACCCACCTTATACACCAGGTCGTTGAAACGTGTGCGGGGATGCCATCCGTACCCCTTGCCGTCTGTATCGGATACATCGTCCATGATACCAGAGTCTAGACGCCTGTCGTTTTCCCCCAGTACGATGTTGTACCTGACCCGACACTGATGGTCGAACCCGGTCAGTCTGTTGAGGTACACGGACACACGGCCATCGCCACTACCTGCAACACAGCAGGTTAGCACAGCCGTTCTCACATCTATGATTGAAAATAAATGTCAAAGCAAGTCTAAACATTTCTGACGAGAGTGTGTAGCAATAAACGTGATTATTATTCCGTGTCCAGTTGATACAGAGGAGCTCAGAAGTACAGTACAAATATATATACCACTACACGTGATGACTAACAGATCCAGCTCCCGAAACGTCGTGTTTAAAACGGAAGACGATGGATAGTATCCACAATAACGGTCATGTTTATTGTCTTGGCTGAAGTTCAGTCTTCAAAAGTAAAGAAGACGTAAGGGGAGTGGAGGTATAACTCCATTATTCTAGATATAGGCCTTAGATGGAGGTAAGTGATCAGCTTCACGGCCAGGCCGCTTTACCCCCAGGGAAAGAGCCTCTGGTACTTATTGGATAGGAGGCTGGGTAGGCCTCAGAACCGGCCTGGACGCGGTGGAAAAGAGAAAACCTCTTACCTCTGCCGGGAATCGAACCCCGACCGTCCAGCCCGTGCAGTGCTCAGGCGGTTAGTCGGCGGCTTCCCACCGCAGAGGCCCTGGTTCGGGGCCCCGGCCGGTTTAGATAGTATTTGTGGTGGAAAAGTGGCACTAGGATAGGTTTTCTCTGAGTACTTCGGTTTCCCCTGCCAATTTTTATTCCACCGATTGCTCCACGCTCGTCATCTATCATCCGAGGCTGGTACAATAGGCCAAATAGTGGCCCCCATCCCATGAAGTTAATTAATTAAGTGGTTTAATTTCGCTCAGAAATTTGTATCTTTCGATACCCTGTCTAAAGTCTAAACATTAGGATACAGCTTAGGGCTCTTATCTGGGGGCCTAAATGCTGACTCTCAGAGCGGAAGTACCAAAGCTTTCGGATTCGTTAATTAATTGCATCTGTATTCTACAAACTACAGGTCAGACTCCGATATGGTGGCTTCTCATATTGGAGGCCCGTGTTTAGTTCTGGGTGACTTCATGCTGTGTTCATTGTGGATTAACTGGCATTTGAACATATTCCTTTTTTCAGTTTTTTCGATTTTACTCCGCTAGTCGTTACTCCACCATTGTTCCGTTCTCATATATTTCCACCCACTGAGATATGCGGTAGACCTGACCAGGCAGCATATTATAACATCCTCATCATTTAAGGACGATTGCTCCGTGGCCTTTAGTCTACAAGCGAACTATACCGACCGAGCGACCGCCGCTTGTCGGCGAAGTTAGTGCCAGCTTTTGGGGATAGAGGGTGTTGCGTGGTAGCGCAACGAATTCCCACGGCCGTTACTCTCGGTTTTCTAGACCGGATTTAAGGACGATTAACGAAAGAAAAATTCAGAAGGGCGTGGAGGGAAGCGGATGTGGCCTATTTTATATATACCGGAATTTTCTTGGAGAGAGTAGGAAAATTACAAAAGATCTCAGTCAGAACAGTTTGGATAACTTGCTCTGTGTAGGAAAGGAATTAATTGACTAAGGACGGGATCTAGTGGCGAGGTGAAGAACCTACGAGTAACATAAAGGCAAATAATTTATTGATCGTCTCAGAAGCACCAAAGTTTTCAAGGGAAAAGTTTTACCGTTGAGTGTCTTAAGGACCAGAACATCCTGTATGAGATAAATTACAAATGACACAGACGGAAGGGGGCTTGATCGGGATTTGACTTGATGTTTTGAGGAAAACGAAGAGAAACCCTCAATCATGATGTGTAAAATAAAGTAAAGTAAAACTATGATGAAGAAAATGCATAACTTCTTACCTAAGTCCTTGGTTCCATGTGGATATAGCGCTACGTTCCAGTCAAACCCACCGAACGTGAAATATGAACTTTCAAATTTCTGCGCACCACTTTTGGTTCCTGAGGTCGAGCCGGTATTTGTAGAAGCGTGATGATTTGTGTGATGACCCGTTCCATGATGATGTCGATGATGATGGTGATGATGAAATGAACCAAATATGGACTGTGGTACTGAGAATTCTGTATCATAAACTGTTCTTAAGTTTCCCATAGTCAACTCAAGCTGGAATTCTCCATTCGTGTCTGTGAAGTTTCTTGCGTATAGGTCACTGACAGGAATGTAATTCCTGTTCCCCTGTGCTGGAGAATCATATGTAAACTTCACCTGCTTCCCGGTGAAGGCTTCGTTTACGCTAAAATGTTCTCTGTTTAGTAGAGTAAACGTGAAATCAACGTAAACACGCATACCATCCGAAGGGCTCTTCCAGACCAGATATACGCCCAAAACTTTATCGGTACGAGAAAATGTAATGGCCCATTTGTGATATCCGCATGCAAATTCTTTTGAAGTTACATCACGTTCTAGGTCACGTGTCACGGATTTTGTTACAACGAACGTGAACACGTGAGTGTTGGCGCGATCTTGCAACTTCGCAAAGCGGTACAGTAGCGACATCTTTCTCACTGTTAGTCACACCATCTGTGAACAGAAAATGGAAACAACCAGTCAGAACAAATGAATATCAATGAATGTATATAATTTTTACTGTCAACACAAAAATATTTTATTATTTATTTATTTATTTATATAGCATACACTAAATATTTGGACCTCAAATGGATCATTTTCAGGTGCTGAAAACTTCTCACACTACACTAAGATTCAAATATGACGGGGGGTGAATGAAAGGTTCGTCGCGCCGAAAAAGAGATACAGCGTTGCCATGTTAACAGCTACACCAAGAAATTCAAGTAACTTAATACTACAGAATAGTCCGTTCTTACGATTTGACAACTCGTAGCCCTCTTATGTACTAGCACGTGACGCCATGAATTCTTGGAGTAGTTTCTCAACTTTCGGAGGAACCTACTGTCTACATCTTCAGGGTTGAGAGGAAGAGAACTCTGCTTGTTATTTGTTTCTTGTTAGATGCCTGCTTGGTTTACTCTTCGACTGTAAAGATGGAGGCAGTATATTCCTCCGAAACGTCAGTACACTTCCACCAGACTACATAACATCACATTCTACATTATAATTACTGAAGTATTGACCTCAAATTAAAAAGGTTTCTGGATCTGTGTGCGAAACCTTTGCTCCTTGATTTTCGATCTTTACATATATGTTAATAACAAACAGCCGTCTAAAAATGTATTATTACACATAAGCAAAGTAATTATATAATAAGTTGTGAAGACAATAGTAAAAATCGCGTGTAACTAGTATCGAAGTTTGAAACTATTTTTTTTCTCTCATCACGTGACCATCCTTACTACTGCGTAAATAACTGATATTCACCGTCTTAATCGAATCCTATAATAATTACTTACAAGGAGAATTAAAATTCTAATTCAATAATAGAATCGTATGTACAGGACCTGTATACAATTTTAGGGAATAATTAAAACTACATTTTAATAATTCGGCTCTAGTCAATATCATGAACACGAATCATAATTTCATTATCATAAAAGACATTCAGTTGATGTTGTTTAGGAAAATCGCCACTATTTATTGCGGTAACCAAGTGTGAACTACATGATTGTCTGGTTCTATAAAATCCTAATGATATTATCACGTTATATTACTGATTGGAGACGCGGTTCGGATTGGTAATTGGATTTATTGACCACTTACAAGTCATAAGTACAATTAATTATTACACTATTGCTCATTTACACAATGTACAATCACTCCATACTTATATTCTCGGTCTAACTGCACTAGTTTTCACGGGTTTGTAACACAGGGACTATAACAGTCTCACTGAATCACACACTCCAAACATTACACATAAATAAATTCTTCTAATCACATGTTAAGTCTTCACAGGCCGACTTCTAATTCTTCAACTACGAACTTCCCGTGGCTATCTCCTTGCTTGCTAGTTCTAGTGCATCTGCCGCTATTTTCCCTAACTTGTAACTGCTTCACATATATAGGCGAGGAACGGACATGAACCTATATTAAACACGTATTACGTGATCGCTATACAGCCAGCCTTTTGGCGTGTCAGTCGGATATACAGAAAACGTATCACGTGATCACCACCCACCGCGCACGCGGAAAACACAGCTTCCTCTATTGTTGCGTGTGTGTATTTCGGGCGTGGCCTAGAGATGACGTCCTTCTGTTGTTTCATATTGGTACATGTTTACGGAACTGTGTCCTGAGTGCGTTGACGTGTCACGATATCTAAAGTGGACCCAGAAAGGTCTCAGCTCCACGTACTTAGCTAGTTTGGCGAAACTTCTGCAACTTTTTCTTTGCGAAATGAAATTCAGAAAAGTGTTCCTTTTTTCACCCCTTTTATTGAAAGGGCAACTGCTTTTCTAAGCTCCTAATGGGAACATTTCTGAATAGAAGAACGTGAGTGTTGCTAAGTGCTGCCCTCTGTCTGTCTCTCCAGAAGCTTCAGCACAAGCTACTCTCTCCAGCTCACTTGAAAACAACGCCACAGCCTTCTGAACTCCCACGTGACCTCTACGAAGCTGACATAATTCAATTTATTAAAAGACAAACCATGTACGTCACGAACGAGAAAAAAAATATGCACATCTCGATTGCGAAATTAAATTCTTTTCATGTGGTAGAAAGTAACAGGGAGATAAATTCGATTTTACGTATTAACCGTGCTATATTTCAAGGAAGGTAACACATTATATGATCTATGTACTACGCTTTTGGGATTTCTTTCAATCATTGTTTATTCATCCCACGTTTGCTCCTTAATATATTTATTTTTATATTCCGGTTTTTCTGCTTCCTGTCCTCGTATGATAAATTCACACCGAGAAAGTTAGCTCAAGTGATAATGCTTCTGTCTTTTATTCTGAAGGTGTTAGGTTCAAATCTCGACTGGGAAACCTACTATCCTGTCTGAATGTTTTGATGGTTTTCCTCAGTTCCCCCAGGCGTATGTCTGCTTAGTACCTCAATTTAGACAATCTATATTTCCTTATGCATCCTTTTCAATTCATTATTCACTGCCATCAAAACACGTGACACTTTACAGTCTGCAAAATATGACTTTAATTTGGGAGGTACCGGATTCGAATTTCGGTCTGAACACCGAAGTACACAGGCTGAGGTTTTTCTTTCTTTTACTCAGCACCTTCAGGAGAATATCGGCATATTATATTTTGAAATATGCCACGACCAATTTAGACTACATTATTTCGAAATTCATAACTCGTTAATTATCCCTAAACAATACACTGCATAATCGGAGTTCTTGAGAGAGCTCTTAAACAAAAAAAAATCTGTAAAATTATGTTCAGTCCTGAATTTACTGTAACTCTCTATTTTCTTCGCCAGAACTCTAATTTCAAAGTAACAAAATGGCGTCATGTTCGGGCCATAGGAGTCGGCCTTCATCATAATAAACAGCAACAAATTCAGTATTTTCGTTTGGAGGTTATATTCTAAATTCGTATATGGAAGTACTCGTTTCGAATCTCGCTCGGGAAACGGGCTACACTGACAGAAACTCAGCCCCCTCCAGAGAATACCGGGGCAGTATCTCCATTAGACCATATCCGTTTCCTTCAGAATCCTTTCCAGTTCGTTGTCTATCATCCCGCCATCCGGCACTGTGTAGTCTCGATACGTAAAACGTCGTTAAATGAGCAACTGTAAAAACGTTAGCTGCTTATTCCTAAGGCCTCTTACCGGCCTCCCCATGTCCATTTCTTGGTAAAGGTATGGTAAAAAAAGGTAAAGTTATCCATGTGCTTAAATAATTAAGCACCACGCCATGAAGAAGTATGGGGGAGTGGAGGTATAGCTCCGATAGCTAACAGATCCTTTGAAAATGCGACACTGCTCAAGTATTTGGGAACGACAATAACAAATCGAAATTTTATTCAGGAGGAAATTGAGACGTTACTGAATTCGGGTAATGCTTGTTGCCATTCAGTCCAGTTTTCTCATCTGTTGGCTAAAACCGTAAAAATTAGGATATACAGTCTCTGACATTAAGGGTGGAACACAGACTGAGAGTGTCTGAGAACAGGGTGTTGAGGAGAATATTTGGACCGAAGGGAGATGAAGTGACAGGAGGTTGGAGAAAACTGCATAATGAGGAGCTTCATAACTTGTACTCGCGTCCAAGTATAATTAGAATGATCATGTCAAGGAGGTTAAGATGGGCAAAGAATGTAGCACGAATGGGGAGAGGAGAAACACTTATAGGATTTGGGTGGGAAAGCCAGAAAGGAAAGTACTACTAGGAAGAGTAGACGTATGTGTGTGGATAATAAAAATGGATCTTAGAGAGATGGGATGGGATGGTATGGACTGGATTGATCTGGCTCAGGATAGGGACCAGTGGAGGGCTTCTGTGAATATGGTAATGAACTTTCGGGTTCCGTAAAATATATTGGAAAATTCTTGAGTAGCTGCCAAACTACTTCTCCTCAAAAAGGAGTCACTTGTAGGGAGTTACTTAGGTACAGCTCCACCCTTCTTGACCTGGGCACTAGTTTGAGATGAGTGGTCAGCTCCACGCCCCGGCCGCTATTCCTCCGGGAGAAGACCCCATGGATCACTGTGGGCCTCACATCCGATATGGATGCTGTGAAGTACAGAAAAGTCCCTTGTCCACTGCGGGAATCAAACCTCGGCTGCCCAGGTTGTAGCCCTTAGCTACAGAGAATGTTCTATCCCTACTCCCGACGGTAAAGACTAATGTGCAGTGGAATTCTTGAGGGGGTCCTTCGGGAGTCGAAGCGTACACCTCACGTCCCACAATCGTACTGTGCCTATAGGTCAATATTGCGCCAGTGACCAGAGGGAAGCGCTATTGTGACCACACTCTCTGCCATGGGAAGCTGCTAGGTAAATCGCCCAGGGACACTGGAATCCGTGAAAGCTGAGTAACCCAAGGGGGCCCTTTCGCAGGCATGCTGCTCCCCAAGGGGATCCCATCCAGAATTCTCTGTATATAAAGGGACAGTTGAAGTTTTGCTGTCGTGCACTAAAAATTACATAAAATGACGGCTGAAATAAACTTCGTAATAGTACCTGTATCCGCCATATTAAAGAGTTCAAACTATACAGGATGTCCCAGAAGGAAATGACAATATTCTGTGAGGCCACAGTATCGGCCATTCCAAGCAAAAAAAACTATATATGTACATGTGTTCTATTCCGAACGATTTTCGAGATACAGCTGTTTCACTGTACAGACGAGCAACACGCCATGTTCTCACACGAGTTGCACCGAGATAGAGCTAGTTCACTGTACAGACGAGCAACACGCCATGTTCTCACACGAGTTGCACCCAGATAGAGCTGTTTCACTGTACAGACGAGCAACACGCCATGTTCTCACACGAGTTGCACCGAGATAGAGCTATTTCACTGTACAGACGAGCAACACGCCATGTTCTCACACGAGTTGCACCGAGATAGAGCTATTTCACTGTACAGTAGACTGTACACGGTACAGACGAGCAACACGCCATGTTCTCACACGATTT